ATCAATATTCTTAACTATTTTCTCTAATAATTATTCCAACAAAAATATATAAATTCAGCAAATTGGTCTAAAACCTATCAATAGAGGTGATAGCTTACATCATAATATAAAATAAAATGTCAATATTATATATATAAAAAAATTTAATAGAACTTACCACATCTTTTTTTTCTTCCCAAATTTGTAATAACTTTTTTTCTAATTTTCTTAACCAATCCCAACGCATCCAAAGACATTCAAGTTCGAATTTTAATGCTTCTTTATTTGGATAATTGCTCGGCATTGAAAATATAATTTTGACAGGGGGTAAGTACCGAACTATAAGCGGAGGATCACTGCTAGCGTTTCTCTCTCCAGTAAAAAATATCAAACTTTCTTGAGGAAGAGAAATTTTAATCGAGAAAGCACCTCTGAATCGCGGGGCTTCTATAGAGTTTTCTGCATATGTGAAATCTTGTTCGTAAATTGCCTTATGCAACGTGAGGTTCCGAGTTGAACAGCATATCCAATGAGCTTGAACTACACTGTGTACATTATACAAATAAAATTGCAGGAGCATAATTTACCTTGATTGCCATTATTTCGTTTTCTTGTTGTATTCGACAATCGTCTGAATCGAGCATTGCTATTGCTTTAAAAGATGTAAAAAAAATTAAAATTTTAGGTCATCGCCATTAGCAAATAGGCATAAATACTGAAATAGAGTCAGAGGTTACACGAAAGGTTACTTTATTTACAGTATTTCAATTGGTCAAATTACTGAAGTTGCATTGTCACATCAGACTAACTTTGTGCTATATTAAACTTTTTATTTCTCGAATAAGTTCTAGGGATGGACACATGCGCAGGCTGCGCAAGATTTTTGAGAGCCTGCGCAGTAGAAATAGTGATCGGATCAATGATTTGATCTAGGATAATGTTCTACGTTTATTTTTGTTAAAATGCAATAAAAATTTTAGTGATAAGTAATTTTTCACAGTGTGATCGATTATCATCTATACTGCGCAGGGTTGTTAATAACGAGCGCATGCTACGCAGCCTGCGCATGATTTGGAAACTTTGACGATTTGCCTAAGATTGTAATTCTACATTTAAAATCAAAAGTTCATGTATATCGATATATTTTAACTATAATTTTGTAAATAGGTTTGTTTGTACCATATATACGGGCGGTCAAAAGTAAAAACCAACCAATTTGAAATTTTAAATTTGATCAAGTGGTTGTCGAGATATGAGCAATAAAAAATTTTTTAAAATTTCAAATTTGGTTGGTTGGTTTTTACTTTTGACCACCCATATATTCGAATCAATTGAAGATTTATATATTTTTGTTGGAATAATTATTAGAGAAAATAGTTAAGAATATTGATTAGTGCATGTGAGTTTTAGAGTAAATATTTTTACAATATGAAAGTAATGTGCGGATTAAAATATTCGATCTACATTGCCTCATCTTAGTCATGATTTAAGACATCGTTAATGGAGTATTTTCTATAACATAAATTTGGATGGAATATAAAATTCATAATCATAATTATGTGACCATATAACATTTTGCATCCAATCTCTTGTCTAGTATTATATAAAGAAAATCTTGATATAACTTATATCGCTATGCTAAAACATGATTTAAAAATACAACTTATTTTAAATCGGATAAAACTTCATACTTGATTTATAGACGTATGATAGTGACGATGATTTTCTGACCAAATTCTGCGTGTGATACTTTTTTTTGCTAAATTCTGAGATTCTGTGATTTTCTATGTATACGTACTACTTCTGTGCTTTACTGTGTCTATTTTGGTTTTCTCCCGAGAATCCCGCTGACCGCACTCGAATTTTGTATTGATTATCCAATTGCTGATTTTTTTTTAGAATTCTATGCTAATCGGTGGTATTCTGCGGCAGGGTTGGTAAATGACCTGGTCATTTGCTCAAAATTTAAATAACCTAGTCATTTGGGTCATTTACATATGAAGTAATTTTATTGGTCGAATAGTTAATATAAAAAATTATCAAGATAATCGTAGCTACATATAAAAGTCAAAATATTACATATTAAGTAAAGTTGTTCAAAAGAACAAATTTTTTTATACGTATAATCAATTTTGATTGGCTAAAATGCATTAGATTATCAGTTAAATGACCTTCTCATCGTACAAACTTTACAATTGAAAAAAATAAATAAAAATAATTTTTTTTTCGAGATACTTTGTTTTGGAGATTAATTCTCCTGTTTGTCCCAACCACCACGTAGAGGTGTATCTCGTTAGTTAAGAAGGCGGACCCCAACTCATCTCCCTTCCACCGGTACTAGTCGTGGTTCGGTTCCTGGTTTCTGAGCGAGTTGTGCCTAGAATCATCATACATCTTTATTCATTATGGCTTTAGCTCAAGTTGTCCTCTAGAGCTCGAGGTTATGACAAAAGTTGAGAAAAATGAAGATCCTTTATATATCTAATTTTTTTTTTTTTTTTTTTTATCGATGCAATTACAAAATCAAAAAACGTTTTTACAAAAACGCGTTTTTAGTAGCTTATCGTTATAACATGATTGTAAGATAAAAAACTCTTTAAAAAATTCCAAAAATTCCCTGCCGTATACTGACTTTTTAGTATAACATACATTTAGTTCTTGTGAATAGTTTAACGTTAATAAGTGATAAAAATTTTCCGATTTTTTTTTATTTACACTTTCACAAATAACGATGTAAAAATAATTTGGTCATTTTAAAAACAAAAACTAAAAATTAGTTTTTTGTTTTTGCAATTTTGATTAAAATAACAAAATAAAAACTATATGAAACAGCTAATAGAATAAATTATGTATTAACAGTTCTTTACATATACCGTAAATAGTTATATGCTATATATTAAAAACATACAGTATATCAAATTAAGCAGTATAGTAAACTAGTTGATACCTGTTTGATCCTGTAATATCCGATCTAGTGTAATGATAATTACAACTGTACATTGTAAAAAGAGAAACGGTGTAAAAAGGTAACAAATTGTAAAACACAAGAAAGTTGTAAAAGAAGAGCGCTGTAAAAATGTAAAATATTATAAAAGCAAGGTGGCAATTTAAAGGTCGGTATAAAAGCAAAGGCTTCCCACCTCGAATAAAGCAGAGTTCGACGAGTAAATTAATTGATCAATCTGAATTCCTTAAAATAATCATCCTTTAAATAAAAGTTAATAATCGGCCTTAATTCAAACCAAATAAACTACATAATAGTGACGATAGAAAATCAACTAATATCGATATACGTAGTAAAGAGTACAAACCAAACTTGGATGCGTAAATCAAGTAATACGTATGTAGCAGCTAAGCCAGTTATCCCTTACCTGTTACTGTTACACCGATTTGCAAGCAAATTTTTTGTACTACATTAAGAGTAAATTCCGACGGTGGCAAGGATTAATATAAAAAAATAATTACAGTACGTATTAATAGCGATAGTTATGTAATATTAGATTATCTTTAAGCCACGTCGGATTTAGTTTTACTGTGGATTTGCCTTATGGTGTAAGAAAAGAAAAAGAAATATTTATTAAATATAAATTCACTGCGCAATACTTGTTTAGCTTTTTTTGATTAAGTCTATTATTATTAATTGTAAATATTGCAAAGCTAGATTGAACTTGGCTTTTTCTTGATAAACATATATAAATTATCTAAGCACTGTTGAAATATAATGCTAACGTGGTTGTGCTAAAATAACGCACATCTATATTTACATTAGGGATGTACGGTTGTTTGAGACTTAGTATTTCGACTATTATGTAGTAACTTGTAATAACTCGGATATATCAAAAAAAAAAAAAAGTGCATATGGTCGTACAATTGTATGCACTACGCTTGTTTTTTTAGCATACGTACAATAATACTTGTCGATAAGTTTAGGATTATGATAAATAGTCAATATCGACTTAAGGATAATATACATAAAGTTTTCATGATTCTTGATTGGTTGATGAAGGTTTGGCAATAATCAATGGGCACCAGTTCGGGTTTTGAATTGGGTTTTGGATTATAAAAATGGTCGACTTCCAAACCCAAATTAGGTATAAATCACATATTTGCCCAGGTTTACATCACTAATCCCTAATTGAATGGAAATTTCCTATCGCTATCGCTATTGTGATACAACTAAAAAGGAATTTCAAATATAGATTGCAGGATCAGGTGTAACGTGAAATTTATCATTTACATTGTACTACACAACGTATTATCTAATATAAAAATGGTGATGTAATATGTTCTCATGATGTGACAACTATTTATACAAAGATGAGGTTTTGTTTTTTTATCTTAACTTTTTTTCATTAATATTTAATATTAATTTGTTATTCAAATCAAAGGAAAAAACAATTTAACAGAAGATAATTTTTTTCATGCTTTTATTCAACCTTAAGATAAAGATGAAGGAAATAGAAATACCTTCTCAAAAGTATTTTAAAGCATATAAATAATACTAGCGTTAAAACATAAATAAGTTTATGAAATACAAATACTGTATATATTACTTCTTACAATTTTCTTTTTTTTTCTATAGTGTATATTCGAATAAATATTATATGGAATTAAAAAATTAGATTAGTTGATTATTATTTTTTTTATACTTTTTTTATTTTTTTTAATGTTAATACTTACAATTTTATTTGTTACTAATATGTTTTAGTTTAGTAAATTATAGATTTAAAGAGTTTGAAATCTTAAAACTTATCGAATAATTCTAGAAAATTATAGTTATCATTGGATAAAAATAAGATAGCAAAAATAAAATTTTAAAAACTTATTATATTTGGTATATATAGTAGTTTTATTTCTTACTCATTATACAGTACATAAGATGCATTTAGATAAGTTTCATATTATAATCACTGATCATATTAGTTTTCTATAAGCATTATTATAATTATTATTTATAAAACTGATTTAATTTATTTATTTTTAAATTATCTAACTATACATATAATATCTCAATAACTATGCAATTATTATAACTTAACTTCACAAATTACCAGAGTTTCAAAATTAATATGATACTAGTAAGTTATTTTTATTGAATATATGAAGTTATCATATATTTGAAGTTGCTATCTTAGTTAATTTATATAATTTGAAGATAATTATAGTATATAGTATATCATATAATTATTTATTTTAGAATTTGTCATAATATTTTCTATTACAAGTGTAATAAAGAGAGTTTGTTGAATATTTGAATCTTTGCTAAGAAAATCAAGTTATGAGATAATTTTATTTTCTTAGCAAAAATTATATTTGCAATATGAAATAATTTAAAATAAATAATATATTACACAATATATACTATGAGTTATTAGTAATCTTTAGATTATATAAGTCTGCTGATATAGCTATCAACTTAATATAAAGAATTTAGGAATAAAAGCACTTCATGACTAACTATTTAAAATAAGTTAAAGTTTAGTATACTATTTAATATGTCTCTTACTATCTGTTTAGTCAATACTTTGATTATACTTAGGTTTTAAAATATGCATACTAATTATGAATTAGTTTAAAATACTAGTACTATATTAAAATGAGCTACTTGCTTAGCATGAATATAATAGCTTATTGTTAGAGTAAA